TAGCTGGGATTACAGGCACGCACCACCAGGCCCAGCTAATTTTTGTATTATTAGTAGAGACGGGGTTTCACCAGGTTGGCCAGGATGGTCTTGATCTCTTGACCTCGTGATATGCCTGCCTCGGCCTCCCAAAGTGTTGGGATTACAGGCGTGAGCTACCACACCTGGCCTAGATCAGACTTCTATATTGCAGAATGGCGTTTAAATTGTGAAAAGCTGAGGGCTAACAGGAACATCAATGGTTATCTACTTCATCCATGTATCAGGTAAATGAGAAATTTTAAGAATTAGGGGCCAATGCACCTTCTGCAGTTGGCTAAGTGTTCAATGAGAAGCCAGGATTATTATAAGTATAATTAACCAGACAGTGCAGATGAAGACCCCATTCATAACAGTCAAAATTTCTTCTTCTGGTTTTAGACAACGTCCTATGTGCCTCTCTGTATAGGGCTATTTGCAGAAAGGGAAACAATCCTTTCATATAATTTCTCAGTGAAAGAAGCCATATTTTCCTAAAGTGGGAAAAGCGTCTACTAAAGCCAGAAACACAACAAGACGGAATTCCCCCGGAAATAAAAGATCAGGTAGGCGGGTGCGGTGGCTCATCCCTATAATCCCAGCACTTTAGGAGGCAGAGGCAGGTGCATCACCTGAGGTCAGGAGTTCAAGACTAGCCTCGCCAACATGGTGAAACCGCATCTCTACTAAAAGTACAAAAATTAGCCGGGTGGGGTGGTGCGTGCCAGTAATCCCAGCTACTCAGGAGGCTGAGGCAAGAGAATTGCTTGAACCTGGGAGACAGAGGTTACAGTGAGCCTAGGTGGTGCCACTGCACTCCAGCCTGGGTGACAGAGCAAGACTCCATCTTAAAAACAAACAAACAAAAAAGCTCATGTAGCAAAAGGACAACTGTTGTATAAGGTCTTAGAACAGGCAAATTCAGACAGAAAGTAGAATGGTGGTTACCATGGACTCTGCAGGAGGAAAATCCAGAGTTATGTTTAGTGAGTACAAAGTTTCAGTTTCGCATTATGAAAAAGTTCTGGAGATGGGCAATGGTAATGGTTGCACAACAGTGGCAATGAGCTGAATGCCACTGAATAGCATGCTTAAAAATGTTTAAAACAGGCCAGACACAGTGGCTCGTGCCTGTAATCCCACTTTGGGAGGCCAAGGCAGGCAGATCACCCGAGGCCAGGAGCTCGAGACCAGCCTGACCAACATGGAGAAATCCCGTCTCTATTAAAAATACAAAATTAGCTGGGCGTGGTACTGCATGCCTGTAATCCCAGCTACTTGGGAGGCTGAGGCAGGAGAATCACTTTAACTTGGGAGGCAGAGGTTACGGTGAGCCAAGATCGCGCCATTGCACTCCAAACTGGGAAACAAGAGTAAAATTCCGTCTCAAAAAAAAAATGTTTAAAATAGTAAATTTTATGTGTATCTTAAAACAGTAAAAATAATTTTAAAATTCCTTATAATGGTTTGTTCTGACTTTAGGTGTTTCCCTCTTCCAAGTTCAAGGACAAATGTCTGAATGAATGGCAAATGCTTACAGCCAAAGTCAACGACAGATCTAGAAACTGCTCAAGACTCATTGTTATCAGAATTACCTAACTAAATCATATCGGAAATACTAGACCACCTATTATGATACACAATACAAGGCAAATTTTAGTGAGGTTCAGTAACCATTCATGTGCCTTCATACTGTTCCTTTGGTGTAATAATAAAGTTGTCCTCCCTCCAATCCTAAATCCAGGTGACATAAGGAGATGACGATGCCCATGAGTGACTGGGTTAAAAGGTCCTGCTGTGAAATTCAGTTGTGAAGTTTTAGATTTTTCCACACTTCTTAAAACATGGGGAAATACATTTACAACTAGAATGTAAATAGGATGAGAAGTCAGAATGTCATCTAGTCATTTTATCTGGATTTGAAGAAATGAGTAAGTGGTTATATGCCATCAATGTGTAAGTTCAAAGGAGAATCAGGGTGGGTTTTTTGTTTGTTTTTTTTGCCATTAAAAAACATGGCACATTCACACTGAAGAACTCTTGCACATGTGTGCCAAGATACATGGAAAAAAGCCTTCAAAGCAGCATTCTTTGTAAGAGCAAAACATGGGAACCAACCCAAATGCCCGTCAACAAGAGAATGGTAAAATAAATCATGGAATATTTGCCAAAAAAAATTGCATACCTACATGCAACAATGTGGGTGATTCTTAATAACCTAATGTTGAATTTTAAGAATTCAAGATGAGGCAGGGCACAGTGGCTCACACCTGTAATCCCAGCACTTTGGGGGGTTGAGGTGGGCAGATCACCTAAGGTCAGGAGTTTGAGATCAGCCTGGCCAACATGGTGAAACCCCTTCACTACTAAAAATACAAAAATTAGCTGGGTATGGTGGCAGACAGCTGTATTCCCAGCTACGTGGGAGGCTGAGGCAGGAGAATCACTTGAACCAGGGAGGCAGACATTGCAGTGAGCTGAGACTGTGTCAATGTACTCCAGCCTGGGTGACAGGGAGCGACTCCATCTCAAAAAACAGAAAAAAAGAATGCGAGATTATACATACTTTTCTTATACATCAAAAACCAAACCTAAACACTATTGTTTAGGAATACATACATATGTGATAAAACTGGTTTACAATAAACTGGAAAATAATGAACACAAAATCCAGGGTTGGGAGGGACATGAGAGCAGGCACAGAAGAAAAACATAAACATGCAACCAGAGAGCTAACAATCTAGTACTTTTTTCCCCAGTCTTCTGTTCATTTTCTTTAACAAATTTTTTGAGATGTAATTCACATACCGCACAATTCACCCACTTATAGTGTACAACTCGATGGTTTTTAGGGTAGTCACAGATAAACACAACCATCACCACAGTCAATTAGAGAATATTTTCATGTTTCAGTTCAGAAACCCTGTGACCTTTATCTATCACTTCCCTACCCAACCCACCTCCAGCCCCATCAGCCCTAAGCAACAAGAAATCTACTTTCTAGCTCTATACATTTCCTTGGTCTGGACATTTTCATAAGAATAGATCATACAATATGTGATATTCTGAATGGTTCTTTCACTTAGCAGAATGTTTTCACGATTCATCCATGCTGTAGCATGTGACAGTACTCCATTCCTTTTCATGGCCAAATAATATCTCTCTCTATGGATATACCACCTTTTATTTATCCGCTCATCAACTGATGGTCGTTTGGTTGTTTCCACCTCTTGGCTATTATGAATGGTGTTGCTATAAACATCTGTGTACAGGTTTTTTTGTGAGCATGTTTTAATTTCTCTTGGACACATATTTACAATGGAATTTCTCGGTCGTATGGTAACTCTATGTTTAATCTGAAGAACTGCCAAACTTTTCCAAGTGAGGGCACCATGTTATATTCCCACTAGCAGTGTATGAAGGTTCCAATGCCCCCACATCCTCACCAGCACTTGTTATTATCTGCCTAATTATAGCCATGCTAGTGAGTATGAAGTGGCATCCCATCATGGTTTTGATTTGTATTTCCCTGATGAGTAATAACGTTGAGTATCTTTTCATGGGCTTATTTGCCATTTGTATATCTTCTTTGGAGATAGCTATTAAGATCCTTTGCCCATTTTAAAATTGGATTCGTTTTCTTTTTATTATTGACTTGTAAGAACTCTTTATATGTTGTGGGTACAAGTCCCTTATCAGATATATGATTCCCAAATATTTTCTCCCATTATATGGGCTATCTTTTCACAACTATCTAGTTCTTAAGCCCTAGTTTCTAAACCTAGTGATGAATTCACAGTTGTACAGTTGAATATAATGTTCATAACTTACCTAGACTTAGCATATTATTGTTACATGTTACATAATAAAATGTTACATAGTTAATAAAAACAAAACCTCATGCAAAAAGATGTTAGGAAATATTCAAAACAAAAGAAAACACCATAATGCTCAAAATAAGTTAATGCTTTTCTTGAGGGTATTTAACTTAACTACCAGGGTACAACAGGCCCTCAATAGAATGTGGCCCATTTATTCTTTCAAAACGTTCCTTGCCAAATTCTAGCACAGAGTGAGTCAATGGGAGTAGCAAACTACCACCAGCAGCACAAATCCATTTCCCTCTCTCTTACTTTTGTGTTATCTGCTCCTCCCTCAAGCTAAGAATGGTTTTTACAGTTTTTAATGACTGGAAAAAATGAGAAAAATATTTTGTTGCTAGTGAAAACCATATGACCTTCAAGGTTCAATGTCTGTAAATAAAGTGAAACACAGCCATACCATTCCTTTAGGTACTGTCTTTAGCTGCTTCCAAACTATAACCGTGGAATCGAGTAGTTGCCTGCAAAACCTACATGTTTACTATCCAGCTCTTAACTCAAAAGTTTACCAAATCCTACACTTTATCAACAAATTAAATTACTTCTCACATTAACTATGGGGAACAAAAACCTACTTCCTACTAGCAAAAACCACCTTGATAATCTCCTTCCTGATTTCTCATAGTCAACTTCTTTTTCTCTTTATAAGAAATATTTATATGACATTTTGATTGTAATAGTAAGAATTTTTTAAATTTCAGGACTCAGGGAGAAGCTGCCTTTCCTTGCAAAATATGCAGTATATTCAAGAAGTCAAGCTCCTGCTACACTTAAGGTACTGAATCAACTATTTTACAAACTTTTATTGTCTATCCATTACATGGTATGAGCCAAATACCGTTTGGTGCCGTAGGAACTATCAAACAACCCATCCTTGCTCTCAAGAGGCTTGTAGTCTAATTAGACTCTAGTAACCATAGATCCATTTCTCTAAAGTTCACTCTACCGTTGTAATTTTACACCAAGTGGGCTTAGACAGTTTACCAAGAATTCTAAGGAACATTCCTTAAATGAAATCTACAGAAGCAGTAAAGAAATAGGAGTACTCGGTAAGTCCCAGACGCTTCTGCATGCCCATGACTATAAAACCAGAGGTCCTAGATGTTTTTACCAAGTGTTCATCTCCACTCTGGCTGTTTGGAGCTAGTCCTAGTCCAATTTCCTAAATGCAGTCACCCATACATACTCATTCTTAAGAATGCATGCATTCAAATAACGCCACAACTTGGAGTGACCACCACTCTGACGAGAATAAAGAAAAGGCCGTCTGCAGGTGGATTTTCGGCCCTAAAAGTGGTGCTAGGGCGGCCACTTCCACGAACACCCCTCTACCCAAAGCAGTCGGAGAGCCCGCGGCTGTGCCGTTTTTCCGAGCCGTTCCCCCAAGCCTCAGTTGCCTCTGCATTTTTCAGAAGTGACTCATCGCCTCAAGTCAGGTTCTGCAGCGGGGAAGCCAGGTCTGTTTCTTTCCAGCACTTTCTGATCGAGGTGGCTCAGGTCAGACCCGGCGCAATGACTCCCACCCCCACCCCCACCCCTACCCCTACCCCACGCCCCTGGAAGACTCACAGCCGGGGGCGAGCGAGGGCGAGACCCCCGAAGTTAGACCCGCCGGGCGGGTGGCGGCGCTGGGGTTGGGAGGCCGCGGCCGCCCGCCAGCCCCGGGCCGCTCCCGCCAGCACCCCGCCTTCCGAGCGGCCGGGACTCCGGGGCTGGGGAGGCGGGGGCAGGGCGCGCCGCTCCGCTGACCCAGATGGGAGTCCGCCAGCGCCCGCACCCCGCACCCCGCGCCCCGCGCCCAGGTCCCCGCGCCCCGGACCCCGCGCCCGCGCCGCCTTTATTCCCCGCGCGCCGCCGCCAACGCCGCCGCGTCCGGCCGCTTTCCCACCCCACCCATCGCACGCAACTTGCCAGCGCCGGCCGCCGGGCGCCCCCCGCACCTGCACCCTGACCCCCCAGCCCCCGCCCGGCCCCGCCGCGACCGCTGCAGGATTACCTGCTTCGCCGCCCCGGGGTCCCGTCCTCGGCAACGCAAATCCGTGGTCGGCCACTGCGCCCTCCTCCCGCGGCCCTCCTCTTCTCCTCCCTCTCCCTCCTCCCCCCTGAATCGGAGCCGGTGTCAGTCACGCTGCTCCCGGGGAGAGTCGCCGCCAGCTTCCGGAGCTCCAAATACAGACGAGCTGAGCGGGGAGAGGGAGAGCAAAGCCACGCGGGTGGGGAGTGGAAATAAAGGGGAGCAGAGAGGAGAAGGGGGTGGAGGAAAGGAGGGGCAGATGGGCCGTGGGAGAAAAGACAGGGAGATGGGGAAGGCAGAGCCGGGGAGAGCCAGCCTGCCTGCCAAGCGCCAGGCTAGGAGAGAAATGGATTCAGTGCATCAGGCAGTATTGCAAAGAAATCTGGAAAGATCCGGAGGCTCCTGGCTAACGGAGGCACAGATAGGTTAAATCTCCAAACACTGGTGCAGAGAAATGGGTAATGGGGTCCTTAGGAAGCAAGAGACCGGCTTGTGTACCCCCAGACCCAAAATGAGGATAAAGGCTCTGGCAGGAGAAGGAGCTAGTAGACAGCTAACGCTTTAGCGAGGCATCAAGACTGGGTGCACTCATAGCGTGTGACATTTTTAAAAAGTATTGTATAAACAGCAACTTTTAAAATGTCCTGATTGTTTAAAAATTAAAGTAACCAAACCCAGCCGGCTTAAGATGTGCAGTATATTTGCGGCCACTTCCCCTTGATGTATTGATCATAATTACAAAATTGGAGGCTTTTCTCTATTAATGTCATTAGGAAGAAAGCACTGATTTTCAATTTTCATCAAAGTTTATTTCAGTCTAAAAAAAGTGACTTGAAGCTCTTTATTGAATTAATGCCAGGAAAATAATTGCAGACAAGAGAGAAAAAGTGGGGAAATGTAATTGATGTCTTACAAAAGTAAAATCTCCAAACAATAAATATGAGATGAGTTTCTAAAAGACCAATATTCTCTGTCGATGCACATAATTTGGTTCTGTACATTACAAGGTTTATTCTGACCCCATAGGTCACAACTTAAACAAAGATCATTCCAATTGCGCATTGCTCTCTGCTGACAGTAATGAGGTACAGTGAGTCTTTGCTTCCCTTTGTCTGGAAAGAAGGGAAACAAAATGACATAAACATTGATCAATGAATGTGTACACTGCATACAGCCAGAGCCAGCACCATCCTTATCCTGTGCATACCTTGCATATGGTAGGCATTCAATATGTTTATATTAAATAATGAATGGATGGATGAAACGTGTATGTATTTAAAACATTTATCTTCCAGAAATGCAGAAATATTATTTAAATATTTATTATTTAAATAATATTTAAATATTTATCTTCCAGAAATATCCATAGGAATCAATGTGTGCAGGATTACAGGAAAGTTCCAAGCATCCATTCAATATGACATATTTTTAGCACTAACTTCAGCAAACATTAGCAGAGCATTTCCTTAGCTATATCTATTTTTTATTGGAGTATAAAGTATTATGGAGTCGAAGAGTGGATGAGACACAAATCCTGTCTTTAGGTTGATAATATGGTAGGAAGATGTGAAGAGTATAAAAATAATCACGGTTCAAGGAATGTTGTAAAAAAATATATTCTAGGAGAAGTATGAACAAATTTCCATGGAGGGGGAGCTTGCCTCTAGTGCTGGGGATCAGAGAACGCTTTCTGATGGACATGTGTTGAGTCTTCATGCAGAAATGAGACTTAATTAAGAGTGGATAGTGGAGGAAAAACACTCAAGATGATGGGCAAAGATGGAAGTGGAGAGGTAATACAGAATGGTATGTATGAAGGACTCAGTGAGTTTGGCTGGAATGGAGGTTAGGCCCTGGCTGGTAGAGGCCTTTGATCTTAACCTAAAATGCAGCCTAAGTGGTAGGCACTGGGGGAATATTGACTTGATTGTCAAGCATAACCATGATAACAATGGTTACTTTGGTGCGGGCATATAGGACTGGAAAGAGGTAGGAGGCAGGGAAATCCACTAAGAAACAATTACCTAGTCTAGAGGGAAGTAACGAGCCTCAGCTTGAAGACTGCTCTCTTCCCTTAACTAGCCCTGTCTGTCATAGCATCTGTCTGCTATACGATGTCTCCCCCAGAACGGCTAACCCCTGAGAACACCCCTGTGAACGCTTCTTCCTCACAATGCTTTGATACTTATTGTCCATATTTTCTAACTAGACCTATACATTCCAAGAAAGTGGGGATTATGTTTGTTTGGTTAATGGCTATTTTCTCAGGCCAGACACTTGAAGATCATTGACTACACGTGGGTTGACAACATTTTCTTTTACAGGATTAGGTCAGAAGATAGTGGAATAGGAAGGAAGAGGACAGTAGCTGGGCTTTTCTAAATCTTTTCGGTTCCCCTTGAGATTCCAGCCCAAACATGCCTTTTTCCTTGGCTGACGATCTCATGATGTGCTAGACAAGGAGACTGATAACTGTGTTAACTTCTACTCCTTCAACTTTCCTCCCTTCTACCTCAAAATTTCTCCCGTTGTCTCCTTTGCCCACTTTCTTCCTTCCTTTCTTTTCTTTCTTTTTTCTGAATGGAGTCTTGCTCTGTCACCAGGCTGAAGTGCAGTGGCGTGATCTCAGCTCACTGCAACCTCCACCTCCCAGGTTCAAGCGATTCCCCTACCTCAGCCTCCTGAGTAGGTAGGACTACAGGTGCATGCCACCACACCGAGCTAAATTTTTTTGTATTTTAGTGGAGACGGGGTTTCGCCATGTTGGATGAGATGATCTTGATCTCCTGACCTCATGATCTGCCTGCCTTGGCCTCCCAAAGTGCTGGGATTACAGGCGTGAGCCACCACACCCGGCCTGCCCTGTATATTTCTTTTGAGTTGATTACCTTTGCTTATATAGAATATAACTTTTTAATGAACTCTTTTATATCGGGGCTTTACTAGAATCTCAACAGAGGAGGTGACCCAGAGACTCAAAATTCAGTCTATAAAGTTTATATAGTACAGTAGTGCCCCTTATCCACGAAGGATATGTTCAAAGACCCCCCAGTGGATTCCTCAAACCACAGATTCATATTGAACCCTCTGTACTGTGGGGTTTTTTTCCTACACATATGTACTTACGATAAGTTTAATTTATAAATTAGGCACAGTAAGAGATCAACGATAACAATTCATAATAAAATAGAATAATTGGCTGGGCGCGGTGGCTCACACCTATAATCCCAGCACTTTGGGAGGCCAAGGTGGGCAGATCACCTGAGGTCAGGAGTCCGACACCAGCCTGGCCAACATGGTGAAAGCCCGTCTCTACTAACAATACAAAAATTAGCCTGGCGTGGTGGCAGGTGCCTGTAATCCTAGCTACTCAGGAGGCTGAATCACTTGAACCTGGGGGGCGGATGTTACAGTGAGCCAAGGTCGTGCAATTACACTTCAGCCTGGCCGGCAAGAGCAAGAGACTGAATCTAAAAAAAAAACAATTATAACAATATACTGTCATAAAAGTTATGTGAATGTAGTCCTTCTTCCTCTCTCAAAATATCTCCTTGTACTATACTATACTCACCCTTCTTCTTGTGGTGGTAAGAGATGACAAAAGGCCTATGGGATTTAATGAACTGAGGTGAATGACGTAGGCATTGTGATGATGGAGCGTTATACTACTATTCATCTTCTGATGATTATGTCAGAAGGCGACTCATCTGCTTTGAGTGATTTTATTAGTTTGTTCTTGTGTTGTTATAAATACTCAACACTGGGTAATTTATAAAGAAATGAGGCTTAGGCTGGTTGCGGTGGCTCATGCCTGTAATCCCAGCACTTTGGGAGGCTGAGGCGGGTGGATCATGAGGTCAGGAGTTCGAGACCATCCTAGTCAACATGGTGAAACCCCGTCTCCACTAAAATGCAAAACACTAGCTGGGCATGGTGGCGCGCCTGTAGTCCCCAGCTGCTTCAGAGGCTGAGGCAGGGTAATTGCTTGAACCCAGGAGGCAGAGGTTGCAGTGAGCCAAGATTGCACCACTGCATTCCAGCCTGGGCAACAAGAGTGAAATTCAGTCTCAAAAAGAAAAAAAAGAAAGAAAGAAAGAAATGAGGTTTAATTGTCTCACGGTTCTGCAGGGTGTACAGGAAGCAGAGCGGCTTCTGCTTCTGGGAAGGCCTCAGGGAGCTTTGAATCATGGCGGGAGGCAAAGAGAGAGTGCCTTTGGGAAAGGGGGGAGGTGCCACACACTTTTAAACAACCACATATCACGAGAACTCACTATTGTGATGACAGCACCAAGGAGGGATGGTGCCAAACCATGTGAAACTGCCCTCATGCTCCAATCACCTCCCACCAAACCCCACCTCCAGCATTGGGGATTACAGTTCAACATGAGATTTGAGTGGGGACACAGATGCAAACCATATCAGTGACACTGGATCATGGAGTCC